GCAAGTTGAAAGAGTAAACATATATAAAAATTTAGTTACCTAATAACCCATAGATTTTTAGATTTAAATTAAATTCTTTACATGGCAAAAAGATAGTAGCTACTTTTCAGACTTTGATAAATATTTCAAAGTCAATAGTCAATATCATATTACTTTCAAAAGTTCCAGTGATGAAACTATGTTATAAATTTTTTTAAATATTGTTTAGTTTTCAGTGGATCTTTATTTTATTTATTTATATGTGGTGCTAAGAATCAAACTCAGTGTCTCACACGTGCTAGGCAAGCCCTCTGCTACTGAGCCACAACCCCAGCCCCTATATGTTTAAAATTATAATAGTCTCTTGAAATGTCTTGATCTATAGATATTTATATTCATGCACACACAAATTTTTTCCCATATCAAATATTAATATACTACCAAAATGTAAATATTTAAACCATCACACTACTGCAGAAACACTCATTTTTGGCTTAAAAAAAGAGCTAATATTTATTGGAAAGATGCATTAAAAGCAAGTACTTAAAATAGGCACAGTTTGGCTGGCCTTGCTCTCAGATCAAATTAAAACATCATCACCATATAAATATCACTCCACTATGTGCATTGTTTATATTTTTTTGGTTTTAGTTTCAAATATTTCTCATTTTCACATTTGGAATACACTTTTCATACTTAAAAATATGTTGCCAGGATTCAGTTTTTCTTAATTCTAATGCAAAAGTCCCTTTTGGAAAAGATCAAGATAGTAAGTGTGTCTGGCTTTATAGAACACACAGTCTCTGTTTCAGCTCTCAGCTCTGCATTGAAGTGCAAAGGTAGCTATAAGCAGGGTAAAAATGAATGGCCATGGCCATGTTCCAATAGACTTTTATTTATAGACCACCAAATTTTAAAAATTTAAATTTCATATAATTTTCTTGTGTTATGATATATTCTCATTTTGCCAGTTTTTTATCTTTTTTTTTTTTTTTTGGTGGGGGGATACTACAGATTGAACCCAGGGGTGCCTAAACCTGAGCCTATCAGCAGCCCTTTTTACATATTTTATTTAGAGACAGGATCTCACTGAGTTGCTCAAGGCCTTACTAAGCTGCTGAGGCTGGCTTTGAACTCACAATCCTCTTGCCTCAGCCTCCCAAGCTGCCAGAATTACAGGCATGCACCACTATGCTCAGCTCACTTTGCTAATTTTTTAGACAAGCATATGTTAAAAAAAATTATGGCTCACTGACTGTTCTGAAGTAGTGTTAATGTATTACAATAATGTATATGTCCAACAATATTTAGGAATTTTCATCTCACCTCAATCAGAAACATTTATCTAAGTGTAAACCATCAAGTTTTCTCGATTCTTAGGGTAAATGTTATGTCTTATATGGCCATGTGGAAGGAAAAGGACTTATGTGTCAGGAGCACCATGGATCTAGATGTTAGCACTACTCTTACTGGCTGTGTCACCTTGAACAAGTTAGTTAACCTCTTTGAGCATGAGTTTTTTCCTCTAAAAAAAGGAAGTCTATAACATATAATGGCAAAGCATTTTGTAATTAAATAATATATACAAATTGCTTGGCAATAAATACTGCTACATCTTTCTTTCTATAATTAATTATATAATGAATAAGCAAGTTTTTTAAGGAAAATAAAAATTTGCATTGTATTTAAAGAACTTTCAATATTTGGTCAGATAAACATTTTTGTTCAATAGAGAAATTTGTAAAATGGGCCCAAAAGGCAAACTTTTAACAAAGTGTTATATGTACTTCAGTTATTGGGATATAGTCTTAATGGCATACTGATACTGGAAATTTTAAGGAATTTTATTGAATTTTTAATGGCAAGTGTTATGTTACACACCACACATTGGTTATATAATCTCTTCCACAGAGAATAAACTGTTTTACTTTTTTAATTCAAAGTTTTATTGTTGGAGTTAATCACTTTGTAAAATTATCCCAATAAAAAGTATAAGCTAAATAAATTTAATGGCTTTTCAAGACCTTTCTATTAACTTTGAGAATAATTTTAATTCTTTAGTTTTAATACCTATAAACAGCATCACCTTAAGATCCTACATTGGTGTTTCCTAAATACATTGAGTTATTTCTTAAAGTAATTTAAGATGTTTTATCACTTTAGTCCTAACTTCATCATTATATCTGCAGATTTATATGGGAACTAAGATTTTTCCCTTTTAAAATGAACACAATCATACCTTAGCAAACAAATGACTGTCCAGGCTTTGTGGGCCACACAAATTAGGCCATGGTGTTGTTGCACGATAGCAGCCATAGAGTGACTTAGTAGTTACAACTGACACATGACAATAATCACATGATCTGGATTTAGTCTATAAATACTAATTATTTTAAACAGTAAAAAATGGAAAATCTGATTACACATATATGTTTTTATATATAATATATGTATATTATATATGTGTATTTATATGTATTTTTTAACTATTTGACTATGTGAAAAGCACCCAAATTGCAGTTAGGCAGGGTGGGATCTGACAAGGCAAGAATTTCTTTTACTTTTTTTTTTTTTTATGCCTTGGTTTTAATTATTTATTTACTTTTTATGTGGTGCTGAGGATTGAACCCAATGCCTCATGTGTATAAGACAAGCACTCTACCACTGAGCCACAACCGCAGCCCCAAGAATTTCTTAATGTGACAACTCTGTACAAAGTGCTGTGGCTGTGTAAAGTTGTTTTATCCTAAATTTCATGAACCATCTACTCACTTCTTTTGAGCATGGAGAAGAATAAAGCCTCAGAACTCTCCAAAGTAGGACATGAAAATCTGATTTCTACTTTTGAAATCAAAGCATTTGTTGTGTGGGTTTTAATTTTGTTGAAAGTGTGGTCCTTTTCTCCTATTCAAGGTTTTTGCTTCTATTTTATAGTATGTAGTGATTTTTAATAGTGACCTGAAAAGTGAGTAGAAAGACCTGTTTAAACTCTATATTAATTTGAGATAAACAAGATATAGTTGTATATTTTACTGAATATACACTGAATGAGGATTTTTTCGCAAGTTTTAGGAGAGACATAAAAAAAAGCTAGATTTGTTTTATTAATGAACATGTTTCTAACACTGCCTTGCACATATTTAATTTTAAAAAGTTTTCTGCCACTAGGAAAACTGCAAAAACAAAAGAAAATAAGATACAGTTCAAATATTTTTGGAACCTTAGGGAAAATGATTTCTGTTTTTCAAGCTTTATAATTATTACATAATGTATACTTTGTAACTATTATCTTTTTATGGATATCAATATAACCCTCCTTTTTACTCTAATATCTATTTAATCACTCAATATAAGTAAAAGTACTGATTTCACTTCTCTGAGTTTTCTATTGTTAAGAGATTCTAATTATTTGTTATTACCCAATATTACACCCTTTCTTTTAAAAAAATAAAAGAAAAATATCTGTGCATTTCATTTGGAGCTCAGGAGATATGTGTTAATGTCCACTTAACGTGGAAATGATGTTTACCTGTACAGTGCAATTTATTTCTATCCCCTGTTATCTTCTGTACTATAATTACCTGCGTAGGAAAAATAATTTTACATCAGTGTCTGTCATTTTCCTCCACATGTTAGCATCTATTCTTTGACTTTTACCTTAAAATCCCTCCACTTTTGTATCCTGGACACATCTTGATATTTGTGCATCTGCATGTACTTGCTAGGGATGCTTCTTCTCAGTAAAATGGACCACCTTTTTCTATCTTTTTTCCCTGTCATGGAGATTGAACTCAAGGGCACTCAACCAATGAGCCACATCCCCAGCCCTATTTTATTTTGTACTTTATTCAGAGACAGGGTCTCACTGAGTTGCTTGGTGCCTGGCTTTCGCTGAGGCTGACTTTGAACTCAGGATCCTCCTTCCTCAGCCTCCCAACCTTCTAGGATTACAGGTGTGCATCACCTCACACGGCTCCTTTGTCTACCTTTAAGTAAATACCGACCTTTATAATTTTAATGAAAGATGTTACCAATATTAAGAATGAAATAAAAAGATCTCACCTTCTTCTTTGTCCTTGTATGATAGTTTTTCTGAAGGCTTTTGACTACCTGAAGTTTTCAAATTGAGGAGATTTATAATCACAGTCAATACTGAATTTTTAAAATCAAGTCTCAAAGATGCAATCAGTCTAAGTAATAAAATGAATCTTGGGGTCTGATTCCTAGACTAGTTTCATCAGACTCACCTCATTTTCTGCTTCATTTCCTAATGAACAAGTGAAGTAGGTTATCATTGGGAATATAATAAATCTATTTTACAGGCACTGTTTATAGGTACAGACATGTGTAAATAGGAACTTAGCCACAATTAGTTTGGAAGTCTAAGAAACTCTCGTGGTAGTTTTTCTGTCAGCTTTCAACTATGTCATAAATGTCAGAAGGAAAAGGTGGACATTATACCCTACAGAGTAACCTTTACATCTATCTGGATTATTCTCTGGATTGTCTCTATACAGATGAAAGGAATTCTTGAGTAGTTGGTACTTTCTAAAAGGCAAATGGTTTAGTGATTGGATTCTGCAAATGTACCACCTGATCTCAAATTCTAGTTCTTACCAGCAGTGTGATTGTGGACATGTGATTTAATCTTTGTGTGTCTCAATTTCCTCATCTGAAGAATGAAGATACTAATATTGTCTGTTGACTGTTGTAGAGAGTAAATAAATTAATTCCTGTAAAGCACAGGAAAAGCCCCTGGAATGTATCAAACATCTTTTAATTGTGTGCTCTTATTATCTACTTTTTTTTTCCTTGTTGTCTTTTAAAATATGTCATGAGGAAGAAATAAAAAATGCAAGTTAGTAGCCTATTTCAGTACTTTGAAGCTTTCAATTTAAAAAAGGCATTCCTAGAATGTAACCATATTCTTATAATGCTCTAAGTCTTCATGGAGAGCCACTCTCAGGAACATAAATAAGCAAGTTATTTTTCAGGCCTGAAGATAGTTCTGGTAGAAAGATTATTATTAAAATTGAATTTCTTAATTCAGATCTTATTCTAAATTCCCAAATTCAGATCATTTCTTCTGTGATGGAACTGACACAGATTCCTTAGTCACCTGAATTTTAGTTTCTTTGTGTATGAAATGGATAAAGTGATATGTAACTATCGGGTTGTTTTAAGGCTTAGCTAAATGCACATAGTCTAGCATCTAGTAAGCTCTCATTAATAATTTTATATTAATTAGAAATTTTATAGTGGTAAGCACAATTGCTAATTAGGTATAATGTAATGTGAACAACTGCAAATTACTATTGAAATGTACTAATCACTCATTCACTGGTTATCATTATGCAAATAATAAGACTCTACTCATTATTGCTATTTAAAGTTAGGTCAACCTCCAATTTTCCTTTGGTTAGGATAAGTAATCCATTTTTTACTTCCTCTTTCCAAACTGAACAATTCACCTCTGACTCTATCAGCAAATTATCATGTCATTTTTCGAACATGAATACTAAGTTAACTCAGAACTCACTGAGGATCTGTTTAAGTCTATTCACGTGGAAAGCACATAATCATTTCTGCATGTTGTTTCATCAATCAATTGCTTTTCTAACACAGTAACATTACTGACACGGGTGTAATGTTGGTAGGTACTGTGCGACCCTGCTATTCTCTTTTGGCCTACTTAGTCATGGTTGGCTGGTCTGCAGCTTTCTTTATAGTTTACTGCTTGTTTCTAAGTTATATAACTGCACCATTCCATTTATGACCAGGAAACATAAGAAGTGACAAGCAGAAAATAAGTTTGTTTATTCTCTTACTGCTGTGATATATGTAGTAAAGCTTTGCAACCAAGGGAAAATATGGTGTGACCAAATGGGGAGAGGCTTTATCACTGCCCCACGTGCTGTGTCTCATAATGGCAATAATGTGTGCCAGGCTACATTGCTGCCACAAAGGATTTTGCCCAAATACACCATCTCAAAGTAGAAATAACATATTACAACAGTTTTCCAGAGATAGGCTTGCTGCTGTCAAAGTCACCTCTTCTCTGCTTAGCTCTATAACACATTAAAAATTGTTACAGCATTAATAAAAAAAAAAACAAAAAACCAACACTTGAAGACTCCTTGTCTTTTTTAGTCTGGAAAATTTATTGTCTCATCTGTCACCCATCAATGAATAGGCTCATGGTTTCTGGATTTGTATATGCCTCCATTGTACTCTAATGCGATTTTTATTTTTTTAAATATCTCCTTGGGAAGAATAAAATATCAACTAGTAAATCCCTCTGTTATGATTTGAATTAAATGTGCTGGTGACTGATTGGATTCTTCTGTCTGTTGACTCTATCAGAGTGTGCTTAAGTGAATTAAAAATGCAAATATATGTACTGCTGTTTCACTTTTGAAGGTTGACTGCCTTTAAAAGTCAGGCTCTGAGAACCAGCTTAGCCAGAGGATTCTAGAATAAATCCTCCATAAATGCATGCCCACTTAGAAGCTAAATTAACAAAACTCTTCTCGTCAACTTCTCAAAGTTTTCTCTTGCATGCCCATGATAGCTAGCGAGATCAGTCATAGAACAGTCAGGGTCTTTGATATACATTTAGAAGTAAAACTCACATGTACTTATTCTTCTACGTAGTGTCTCTTCTTGCAGTCAAAACAGAGCCCTTGAACAGCAGTGAAACCACAAGCACGACTGGAGATGGAGCGCTTGACACTTTTACTGGGTCAGGTAAAGCCTTTAGTTCGTGTGTCCTTATGTCCACACCAGGGTCCATGCACAGCCTCCTCCTTGCGGATAGCAATGTGAACATCAAAGCTATTAGAACTTGAATCTTTATGAAGTTAGCAACAAATCCACTTTTGAGATTCATCCTAAAACTATGTATTTTTACAAATTATAGTAGGAATCATTTTGCCAGCTTTTCAGATGACAGTGAAGCAATCCCATGACTTTCTCATTAGAGATAAGCAGAGCTGGCTTCCTTCATCATGATTTTATGCAGTGCTTAATTAATTTAATAATTAGGTCACAACAGCCGACTTTGTTCCTTCAACTCACCCACTTAAATTACATTAAAAACTGCCTTCTATCCCCCATCCTAGATGTAAAACTATCCATTTGATTCCTTCTAAATAACCTTGCTTCCTCTCGGGGTTTAAAAAAGCCCTCCTGTGCAAGCAGCTGAGTGATAAGTATTAAAGGTTAATGGGCTTCGGGGGACACATGCTGGTTGCATTAGAACCCAGACTCAGGGAGCAATCCTGGGCTTCAAAGAGAACAACCTTGTGTCTTTAAACATCAATCCCTTTTAAATAGAAATATCTGATAACTCCCAGCTGGACACAAAGGGTGTGAAATAAGTTAACTTAGTAAAAGATTTTATTTTTTTTAATTACAGTATTGACTTGGTAAATTTTTTTCTTTTTTAATTACGGTATTTTGGTTAGCTTATTTTCTGGCAAAAGGATTAAAACAAACAAATAAACAAAAAAACCTTAGAAGGAATGTGTACATCAGAAAGATGAAAATTAAACCTAGAAGAGCAGTTATGGCAATTAAATCTCGGTTCCATTGTCTGCTTTAATGTATTTTACATTTATTCGTGTTCTTATGTGCAAGGATTTTAGGTGGGTATGCCCTAAGTAAAAAGAGTTGAGATATGTGTTTGAGTATAATGTCATCATAGCACGTTTAATTTTTATGGATGGGGATGACCTAGTTTTATTAGTTCACACCAGTTGGAAGTAGTTGTCATATATTGACATAAATATTAGTACTCCAAACAGAAATAATGTATAGTAGATAAACTTTGCATAGAAACTCATTTATGCTAATTCTCATCCTTCCTGGCATTTTGCCTGCTTCCTAGGAGATAGACACTGACTTTCTTTGTGATTCTGTATTGCTCATTTACTTTAGCTCTTATAAACATTTTGCAAAGTAAATGTATATAATGCATTTTTAAGAAAAGGAGTTATTAAGTGATTGCTATCATACTTCAAGGGCATACAAGTACCTGGAAAGTTGAATGACAGAACTATAGAATGATAGTTCCAGAAGGAGTATCAGAGCTCTCTGATTCATTTTTCAGACAAGAATACCAAGGTGCACAGAGAAGTCAAAGGTAGTTATGGCCCCATGATCAAGACATTATAACTGGTACAAATGAGGCTAGAACTGGGTAGTACATGGGTCCTTTCAATAGTCCTCCATTGGAAAATATAAAGACCCACAAAGAAACATGTGTAAACAATCATTCTGTTTGAAATACACTCATATTTTCTTTAAACATATTTTCCCAGTTTTCTTTTCAAACTTTTCTAGGGCTATGCAGTCTAACAAAATAGCCATTTGCCACATGTTAACTATTTAAATTTAAATTAAGTAAAATGTGGTAAGTTAAAAATTTTGTTTTTTATCACACCAGCCACACTTCAAATGTTTAATGGATGCCTGTAGCTAGCTAGTGGCTACTATATTGGATAACTCAAATACAGAGCATGTTCAACACCATGGGAAGTTCCTTCTCAATAGTGATCCAGGATAAGGGTTCTCAATGGCAGTACTATTAAAATTGGAGGCTAATTCTTTATTGTGAGGGATCTATGCTGTGCATGTTAAGATGCTCAGCAGCATCCACACATATGCTCCAAATGCCAGTAGCATCATCAGTTATAACACCAAAAAAATAACTCCAGACATTTAACATTCTCCTGGCATATAATTCCTCCCCGCTTCACACGTAGAATCACTGACCTAACGTATCCTAATAGTAAGAGTAAAACCCTAAAATCATTTGACACGATCCTCTGGAAAACTAATAGACATTAAATTTTTTAAATTAATTTTCAGGATATTTTTAAGACTAGCAGTTCTGTTTTTTTGGGTTTTTTTTTGTTTGTTTGTTTTGTTTGTTTGTTTGTTTGCAGAAATGGTGAAATATACTGAGTTGAGTGCTTTGGGATTAATTAAAAGACAATGAGGGATAAAGAGAAGATCTTCTCTATTTGTATAGAATGTCCCATACGTTTTTCTGGAGATCAGGCTGCCTTGGCAGGAACAGTCTTTATTCTGAACAACTAATCACAATTCACTTGAATCCATTTTTGTTGTTGTTTTCTATCATCTGCAAATTTATGAGCATAAAATATATAAATTTTAATAAAGAAGCTTATATTCTCCATCTTGTTCTTTAAATGGACTCTTAGTTTTCTAAGCCAAAAGTTGTGTTTTTTTATTTAGAAATTGAAAATATAGACATTAGTGTGAAATTTCAATTTAATTGACAATTTATTTGTTGTGGGTACATTATTCTAATGATATCTAGATTTGTTAATTAGAGAGAAAAAACATGCTATATGTTCAGAATTGTGTTCATGTATATAGTTTTTGTCTGAAATACAGAATTTTGCTCTTCACCATATTTAATGAAAACTGCTATAGTGAATGTTTCTTTTCATCATTCTGTATATTTTGAAAATTCTCCTATTTTTCAGTCTTGAGAATAATTAGTATGTATAGCCAAAGTCCTTTAAAAAAGAGATAAAACATCTTGGAATTAAGTCTTATTAAACTGTTTTTCTGATAAATAAAACATTTACTAGAGGGAATTAATAAATTAGACTGAAAGCACTATTATTATATAATGTACATTTAGTACCCATGGAGTATAGTACAAAGTTTACCCTCATTGAATTGATTTGAGAGTTTTAAATATCCTTTTAAGTTTTTAAGAATTAAGTAGAAAATTAATGGCTTACCAATAAATTTATTTCTAGTGTACATATATAGAAAATTCACTTAAAGTTTGATTCCTGAAAATTTTTAGAATATTATGCCTCAGTCAGATTTGACTGTTTTCAAACTTGATTCCTAGCATTCATGAAAATGTGCTTATTGTATTATTGCTGTGAAAACTATACTTTCCTTACCCCAAACTTATAGACAAAATAGCATTTTAAACACCTTACGTTCTGTATGTTTATGAAGCAATAGATCACAAGGGTACTTAATAACATTTGGATATAGAAGTATATCATATTTCATAAAATACTGAGCAACTTAAACCTATTTGTCACTTTTACAATTCTAAAAGTTTAGCTCCAGAATTATTATGAACAACTTAGGAAGGTCATAGTACTTTGAAGTAGAACTATGATTGATTAGACTAAACTAATTCCAGCACTGTGTTGTGTACTACTTTAATCTTTTTGAAAAGTGAATGAACAGCAGATGGCCTAATAAAGACACTCTGTGTGCTTGCCCAGTATGGATTGGCTCTGAAGGGGCTGGCTCAACACTTTAGAACCCATATATTTGCAATACATCTGTCTTAGTCAAGGCAGATGGCTAAAGGAAAGAGAAACTTCCAAACTTTTGGATATATTCCAGTCTGTGGTGCATATTTGGATGAAATGTTTATAGAACCTGACTTTTACTTTTAAGTTCTTTTTAGAAAAGTATTTTCTCTGATAGTTCTAAATATGTATGTAAATATGATTGCTACTGCATTTTGTGATTATGCTTAATAGAAAGTGTTACATCATCCTGCATGTTTGCTCTGTACATTTCAAATATTTCTAGGGTACTTTGGTCTCTTCATTTTTAATCACTCCTCAGATTAGTAAAATGAAAGAAAATAGAAAAGAATAGCATGTTTACAATTAGTGAATGATGTTTTGAAACATGAAATTATTTTTAAATATTATTTTAAGGCTGGGGTTGTGGCTCAGTGGCAGAGTGCTTGCCTTGCACATGTGAGGCACTGGGTTCGATCCTCAGCACCACATAAAAATAAACAAAATAAATATATTACATCCATCTAGAACTAAAAATACTTTTTAGAATTATTATTTTAGTTAGAATAAATCTGCAGGCAATATACTGCTATCATGTGGAGTTTAAAATGTAAAGTGTTCAAATTTAAAAATTTACTTTTACATCTTGAAAGTTTAATTATTCTATAATCAAAAATACTTATTTATAACGTATCAATATATAAGAGTATACTGCTGACTTGAGAAAATGGATAAGTGATAGAATGATTTGAATGAGGAATATTTATTTCATGCTCTTAGAACAAAATTCAAAGCAGTTTAGGTTGAAAAAGTATTTAGGGAGCTGATACATTTTAAGAAATGGATTTTAGAAAATGAACAAAATTTTAGAAACATTTAACATGGCAATTTCTTTAAATTAGCTATATACCTTCTAATGGAATGCATTTATGAAGCAAATTTTTTTTGTGTGCATTGGTTTTTTGTGTCTTACAGTAATCACAAGCAGTGGCTACAGCCCTAGATCAGCACATCAGTACTCTCCCCAGCTCTATCCTTCCAAGTAAGTGGTCAGTAGATGCAGTTTTGTTAGAACCATTTTCCAGAATTACATTTATTAATTTATATTCACACAATATATCAACTTTAATTGGCAAGCATTTCTGTATGTACATGTAACATAGGCAGCTGGATAGATATTTGGATAGATTAGATATTTGAATACTTTAGTATTCTATACATATTAGAAATAGAGACATCAGGGGCTGGGGTTGTAGTTCAGCAGTGGAGCACTCGCCTAGCATATACAAGGCCCTGGGTTTGATCCTCAGCACCACATAAAAACGAATAGATAAAATAAAGACATTGTGTCCAACTACAACTAAAAAATTAAAAAAAAAATTTAAAAAGAAATAGAGACATCACTTTTATCTGGATAATGCCCTTCTTTCTGGGTATTTGTGGACTTTGAGCAAGACACGAAACTGAAACTAGAATATGCTATTTTTTTAATTAAAAATTTTAAATGCTGGGTAGTTTAAAGAAAATATAAAGAATTCACATTTTATCCAAACATCAACACTTCATAATTAATTCCATTATTGGACTATTTTTATTGTATTTCAAGTTACAATAAGCATACTTCTGGAAAAAAATATATATATTTGTTTTTATAACTAGTGTGGTCACTATACTAAGGACAATGGTAGATAGTTCAAATTTAACTATATTGGGTATATATCTGAATTTGTTTGAAATCAACCAGATGTGCCTAATTTGGATTCCCAAGACATACATTTTAATATATAATGTGATATTGTCTGCAACAATAACACATTATATATTAAAGAATATCCTTAAGTTTGGGCTGGGGGACTCAATCTCCAGTTGGGAACACAGCATAAAATGTGACATGATAAAGGGAATGGCATTTCCTTTTCTTTTCAGGAGGACTTCTCCTCCTCCTTTTTTCTAAGACTTCCCATTTATAGTAGTGAATTCTTGGAAGAAATTTTAAATAGAGTTTTGTAATCACTGTATAGCATTAGGTCACTTGTAGTGAATCAGAATCTGCTTGTAAGCATATTAATTAAATGGCCTGTGCTCCCTTTTCCTCGTCTACAAATTACTTAGAGTGCTATTTAGCTGTAACAAGACTTTAGATATAATATCTAAACCAAATTTCTCATTTGACAGGTGAGATAGTCGTAAGGAGTTTAAATTTAAATTATTTTTTCCAAGGTGACCAGATTGCTTTGTAGCAGAGCCTGGGCTCCTGACATTCAAACTCTTATTTGCTCCTATATTGTTAAAATTATGTTGTAAATAGAAAGGAGGATTACTTCCTGAATATTGTAGGGTTTCACTGAATCTAAGCTGTCTGAATTAATATGCAGTCTTTGTTGCCACAGTAATGCTATTTTTCTGATATTTAGGCCCTATCCACACATTCTTTCTACACCAGCAGCTCAAACTATGTCTGCCTACGCAGGCCAGACTCAGTATTCGGGGATGCAGCAGCCAGCGGTCTACACAGCCTACTCACAGACAGGACAGCCCTACAGCCTGCCCACCTACGGTATTTCACGTCTTATATCTTCTTCTTCTTCAGTTATAAGTGGGTAATCTTGCTGGCTAGTAGTTTTATACTCTGATGTTAAGTTCCAGCTCAAGGAAGGTCATCTTACTAATCAAATGGTTTGTATGTGCATTTTGGAAACAGATTTGGGTGTGATGTTGCCAGCCATCAAGACGGAGAGTGGACTTTCCCAAACTCAGTCCCCATTACAAAGTGGCTGCCTCAGTTACAGCCCAGGGTTTTCAACCCCACAACCAGGCCAGACACCATATTCTTATCAAATGCCAGGTAAGTAGCCATACATGAAGCGTGTGAGGTGAGAACCAATTCTCTGAATGAGACTCTTCAGCTTCAGTCTTAGAAATGTTCAGTCCTAAAGACAGGTTTAAATTTACCCCAGCTCACATAATTTCTTAAGACAAACGAAGAGGCAGAAACATGATGGAAAAAGTTGAATGTACATCGAGAAACATGACTCATACTGAATGTAAATACTTAATTTTAAGCCACATAACATTGGCAGGAAACAGAGTCCAAGCAAAGCAAACTTCCAGCCAGCCACCAGGTCAGGCAGGCACTTGTTTGGCGGCTACTTAAGTGAGGAATTTAAAAGATTCATAGTGCAAACTAGTATTTTCTTTTCAATATTCCTTAATAATGTAGTGCAATTTTGATTGTATGAAAATAAATTAGCACTTTTCTAAGGTCCACCTAACAAGTGATTGTTAAGTGACTGGGGATTTTTGTTCATTCCTTA